GCCTTGCTTTGCTTTTCAATGGTGCCCAGTGAAGAAGTGCATTGGTGCAGGTTATCTGAGATAGCACACGGCTGAAAAGCACGAGTTAAAGCTTTTAGGCCAAGCAGCCTAAAAGGCTACAGGTTTGAAATGCTTATGCTTTTTTCTTTCTGCCATATTGATTTCCAGGTTGTTTGACTTGGAATCAGTTTGAAAAACATGGATAATTCAACCAACAGTTAGTGGATCCAACATTCTTAGACCACCAACTACCAATATACACCACAGTTCTGAGGGGCCTCAGGTGACATTCCCTTTCTCAGAGCAGGACTGGAGCTGCTCATTGCTCCTCCCTGCTCATCACTTTTACGTATGAGCTAGGATGCAGGCCCTAAGCCTTCAGGCTACCCAGCAGCTGCCCACCTGTGAAAGCTGTGCCTCCTGATATCAGCAATTTACTTTCAGGCCCAGAGGCTAGTGTGCCCTGGCCCAACAGCCTACTGGAGCTTAGCAGGCACAGCTACAAAACATTTTTACTGTCATTTTTAACTACACCCTCCTCTCACTGCCAGCACCTAGAGGTATTCTTGTCTAAAGAAAGCAAAAACCCACAACTCGAATCTACTGTGGCAGGGGTACTGAGCTGGGCACCCAGAAACCCAGCTTCTAGTCTTGGCCCTGCTGTGTAGCCTTGAAACATGGTTTAGCCTTTCAGGGCCTTGGGTTCTTTACCTATCTCTACAAAGGAGAGAGGTGATTGGAAGATCTCTGTGTGTCCTTCCAGCTCTCATACTCTATCAATGCACAAATTTGTCCCTGAGAAGCTGGAAGCATTCTTGAAAGCATCCTCTGCTCCCTGCCTCCCAGAGGGCACAAACCAGCCTGACTGGGGAGTCATTCCTTCATTTGGGTCCTATTGATCCAAAGAGGACAGGTGCTTGAAAAGAACACACAATGTCGAATCAAAAGAACTGAGAACCCTGGCTTTTCCCCTTAAAGGCTGTGAGAATTTGGGCAAAGCCATTAACCACTCTAAGCTGCTTCCTCATCCTGAACTGAAGATAACATTACTTGGCACACAAAACTGTTATGAGGATTGAACCTATGTTACAGTGGTCCATAAACTGAAGAGTCTGTCCACAGGGGAAGTGTCCAAGCCCAAGCAACCACGATCCCTGGATGCACTGCTAACCCTGTGTGCATCTATAAGCTGTTTGAAAAGGTCTGAACAACTCATCTGTGGTCCCCACCCTCAGCAAAATGATGAGCTCCAGGAGCACCCAAAAGAGGACCAAGTAAGGGTCAACACTGCCTGGTAACACCCCAAGGGGCTACGAATGCTCTAAATCCTATGATGCAGAGTTAAGAACTAATGGGGAGCCTGCCTTCAAGGGCAATTATAACTTGAAAAAAGAAACAAGTCAAATTGATGTGGCATTAGCAGACCATAACTAGTACAATTGTTCCTTAAGGCCTTGGAGAGGGAAAGTGGTGAGGGAGATGGAACCAGTGGGTGGGATGAATCCAGGGAAGCTTCCTGGAAAGGGAACACCAGTAGCCACGAACCACTGCAGAGCTCTCCTTCTTCTACCCACCTCTAAGCAGTTCTCCCCATGTAACACCGAGGGTCAGCCACCCCTTCAAACTGTTGGCCCAGAAGTGCTGTAGAAAGGAGGAAAACAGTAGCCCAGGAGGTACCTGGAGCTCTGTGACACTTCCTGGGCCAGGACTGTGAGAGAAAACTGTTCCCATTCCAAGTCAACAGTGCAAAGGGCTTCCAAGCACTACTCCTGTCCTGCCAAAGCTCCCAAGCCCTTGTCCTGTGTCCATTTTATTCTTTACAGCCACCTGCTGCCCCTTTAACCTGTTAGATAAGTAGTTAGCACTCAGTCATGAGAATGCATGTGTGTAGCTCTGGATACTTCAAGGTTGTGATGCGCACGCTTCCATCCAACGGGGGTCACCAAGCTCAAGAACTGAAATCTCAGACTGGGGCCCAGGAGCTAGTTGCCTCTACTCAGAGAAGCAGCCTGCTCAGAGTAGTTTGCGGCTGCTCTTTCCTAAATCTCCCCAACATAGCTTGTTAAGATGGCCAAGCTGTGCATCACAACGCGGGAGGCCCTCACACTGTCTCCTCTACCTGCTCTTTTCTTACTCTGAAGATGCCTGGGGCAGGAAGGTGTGAGCCTCCCAAAAAGACAAGCTGAGAAGCAGAAAGAACAAGTCTCCAACTTTTTTGTAATTTATGAATCAGAAGCTGGATTTTCTCTAAAGGATGCATCTGTGATTGTGGATAAGCCCCAATATGTCCTTAACACCCTAGACTGCCACATCTTTCTGAAGAATCACCACCCTTCACACACACACACACACACACATACACACACACACACACACACACACACACACACTCTCTTCCTATACAGGGCCTGCGCACCAGATAGATATTGTGAGGATGGTCGGGGAAGCAGGCTAAAATTCCACTAGCCCAGTGTTAGCCTACTGTCACCTCTATAGCTGGATTCCCTGCACAAGGCTTGTTCATTCTGCACAGTGGCTAGGTTTAATCTGTAGTTCCATGCTGAAACCCTCCATTCCTAATCATCTGACAAGATCATCTCTCAACCACAGTCAGTCAATAGGTCTCAAGAGTTCCTTCAATTCCACTGGGATTTACTGAGCACCTATTAATGCCCAGCACCATGCCAGGTACTGTGTAGCATTTGCTTTAAGGACCATCCCCTCTAAGGATACAAGTATAGGCAAGAACCACGTCCTAATCTGTCAAACTGCAGAAGTCAAATGTACTATCAAGCACACCTTGCAGAGTTAGGTGTATAAAGGCTATAAACCTTAAAACTCTGACCTGCCAAGTCTTACAAAACCCCAAATACCTACGTGTCATTCTACAATTCTACGAAGTCCCATTATTTCCTCACTGATATGATAAAAGGTGATAATCAGTTGCTGTCCACACAGATATCCCATCAGGACTACTGCTTCTGGTCCGGAACAATAAAATGGGAAACCAGGCTCATATATTCATACTTAGGCAAGGTTAACTCACGGCTGAAAACCACAAGATCTGGTACTCAATATCATGTCACATCAGTCTCTTCTGCATGTTAACTAAATATTTGTACTAGTTAGAAGTAATATACGTATATGTGTATATATATGTGTGTGTGTATATATACACGTGTGTGTGTGTGTGTGTGTGTGTGTGTGTGTAGCATTTCTTATTAAGGCATGGGGCACCGTCCCCACCTGCAACTCTACCAAGAAGATCCATGCATAGCTTTGGAAAGCCTTCTGGCTCTTTGATGCTTAGCATGGTGCCCAGTACATTTGTTTGGGCTGGATTAACAAATAAAGAATTAGCACCTTAAATTTAATAGAAAAAAAATACCCTATATTTCTTAGAAGAAAATGACCCCCCCAAAGCCAACATGGACAATTTGAAGATTAGCCATTTGGGGGGTCAACTGTACTTGAGCTTCCCGTTTTGTTTAATTTGTGAGACAGGGTCTCACTCTGTCACCCAGGCTGGAGGGCAGTGGTGCAATCTCGGCCCACTGCAGCCTTGACCTCCCAGCCACAAGCGATCCTCCCACCTCAGCCTCCTGAGCAGCTGGGACTACAGGCACATGCCACCATTTTCAGCTAATTTTGTTTATGTTTCTGTAGAGATGAGGTCTCACTGTTACCCAGGCTGGTCTCAAACTCTTAGGCTCAAGCGATTCTCCCACCTCAGCCTCCAGAGTAGCTGGCACTACAGGCGCATGACACCACACCTTGTTAATTTTTGTACTTTTTGTAGAGACGGGGTCTTGCTATGTTGTGCAGGCTGGTCTCAAACTCCTGGGCTCAAGCAATCCTCTCACCTTGGCCTCCCAAGGTGCTAGAATTACAGGCATGAGCCACCGCGCCTGGCCCAGTTCCCAAATTTCAGAATTCCATGGGTAAGTAATATCTCCCTCAAAAAAAAGTGGTAATCAATTACACTATTGTCAAATTTTCATTTTGACGTGGCAGGACATAAAAGAAACAACTACAGCCTCATGTCGCCATATCTTTTAATGGAAGAGGTAAGGAAGGCCATGATTTCAGAAGTGAAGACTTTCTTTCCCAAGAATACCCTGCTGACGTCCTTTTACTTACACTTTTGCTAATGACTGGTGAACATATAGTAATGGGCCAACAAGGGCTGACAGATCAGTGCTGGGAATCGTGGTCCACATGTGCTCCTCTTTCCAATATGGCCCAACTAAATGAAACTGTTCTTTCTTATACCCATAGCAATCACTAATCGGGGCCTGTTTCCCTCCAAATTCTCCACACTACCTCAACTTCAAGCAGAGAAACTTGCCTTCTCCAACAGATCCTGTCTTCTCCCTGCTGGGTGTCCTCTAAGGAAGAGAGCACCTGAGTCCCTCTCGGGTTCACCTGGGTTTATGCTGCCCAAACTGAAACTAGTGCCACAAGTTTCTGAAGGCCACAGTCTAATCAGGATTATCTGGATCATTAAAAGTGCACTATAATTAAGAATTTATTATTGGAGCTGTCAGTCCAAAACATAACTGGGCAGAACAAAGTTTGACTGTGGTATCTTAAACAATACCAATTGACTTCCGGTTATGAAAGAAGCAGCGTGCGTTCTGCATGTACAGAGGTGATGCTACTGGTCCAGAGTCAACGGAAAGTTTTGAGTTATTCTCCTAGGAGAAGAATCAAACTTGCCCAATCCCTCCATGGACTCCTTTCTGGCCTTGGTGTCCAAGAGAAGGCCAGGTTGGAAGTAAGGATGTGCTATTATAAGGGAAAACAATAAAAAAGACAGTGTCACCTTCTACACTTAACATCCTCTCTTCACATGCCTGTGAAATAGGTACTACTATTTCTATTTGATAGACAAGATAACCAAGGGTCAGAAAGCTTGATCATTCCACAGTCAATAATACTTACCAAGTGTCTCCCATGGGCAGGCACTGCACTAAGAGCTATGACTCTGCCCAAGGTGACAGCTGGCAAGTAGAAAAGGGAGCACCCAACCTGTCACTTAATCTGAAGTCTACCCCATTCGATGACTGCCCCTCAGGCTGAGGTCAGTGTTTTCTCACACAACACCACAACAAAGTCAAAGAGCCATTGTGGGATCACATGGTCCATCTCTTTAGTTTGCTCTGCTGCAAGGAAAGTCAGTATTGATTATTGATTATCCTTCTCAGACTTTCTCAAATGTCTGCTGTCTCTGGGGACAAATCAAAGTAGCTTCCCATGTCACATTAGTTACAGCTCTGTCTATGGTGTGCAGTCCAGAGCTGGGTCTGCCTCCAGTGGGCAGGACAGAAACACCCCAGCAAAGCACACATGAAATCCTGGGAGAGAAACTTTTGCAAAGGAGTAACAGGTTCTAAAGTTTTGAGGACTTTTAGAGTAGCAGGACCAGAAGCCAAGCAGTAGGATTTGGAAGGTCCTACTCCTTGGACAAAGCACTGAGATCTCCGGTTTGACTCTCTAAGGGCACCTCAAGACTCTGGGACCTATTCTTCAAGCACAGCCCTGTGGTCACCTGGTATGCATCCTGTGCCAGAGGTTTTGGAAACAATGTCTGCCATCCACTCTGACTGGGTGACCCCACTGATGAGCCTGCTACACTGTTGCATCAGAGGAGGGGCCAGTCATACACCAGGCTGCCCATCTCAAGAATGCCAAAACCTTCATGAATGGGCCATCCTGTGCCTGCAATCACAGGGAGGCGGGGCTGACAGCCACGGGTCACGTAACTGAGGTCAAACACAAGAAGCTGGCCTGGAGAGCTCCATATAAACCTCAGGAGCTCAGTGCTCCTCACATTGCCAGCATCTTCTCTCCTCACTCACCCTTCCTGGTGCTTTGGGTAAGTGTGGGTTCTACTGAGTCTCTCATCTTCCCAGCTGGTCTTGCCCAGGCCTGACTAGATTAGATGGACCAGGGCCTCTTTCCCCTTTGGGAGCTATAGGGCCTCTGCTTTCCCAAAAGCACTCACATTTGGAGGGCGGTCAGGAAAGGAGCAGGGGATGAGCTGCTGCAATGCAGATGAGGTTTCTGGTCTTCTGGTCAGAATGTAAACTCCACAAAGACAAGACTATCTCTGCTCTCTGGCACTCCCATAGGGGCAGGCATGGTACCGGGCACAGAAGGACTCTGGAGAGGCTGTCCAAGGCAGCGTTTGCACAGGCTGAGCAGACCTCGTGAAATTGTCAGGAGGAGAGGCTGAGCCCACTCTCAAGAGAGTAGGGAGAATGATTCCAAGAAAGTTGCAGATGGGAGGGATTTGAGGTGCCACAGAAATCCAATTGCTGCTTTACAGAGTTAGAAGTTCTGAGAGGGAAATACAACTTCCTACTAGTCAAAGTCCCTTCTACCAAACTTGGACTTGAGAAAATCATGGAAGAGATGGCTAATAGCTTCTGGTCGGGGATATTAGTCCAAAGGACCACCCAGGGTCCTTCCCCTGTTTCCAGGCAGGGCCACAGCAGAGCCTGTCTTTTCTAATAACTGGCCCTTGGATCATGGCCTAGCTCAGTGGGACAGACCAAGAGTTTGAACTAAGAGCTTTTGCAGAGGATGGAGTGCAACAGGCCTCAGTAGAATGGAGTCCAACAAACCTCCCTCTGTTGTACTGGGAATAGGTAAAATCTCCCATCCTAGGTAGAGGTTTGTGGTAGCTTTCTATTTGCACTCAGAGAATCAGTGTTGAGACTGGAAGAGGCCTGAAAGATGAAGTGTTCAAACCCTTTCATTTAATAGGAAATGAGAAAGAGGCGGGAGTGTGGGTGATCTGCCCTCAAATCACACAACAGTGGTCAGAGGCAGAGCTAGGAGAAAGAATGGGCACTGCTAACTGGGCTGTTTAAAGCTTAGTGAAGGCTTTCTGCAGGGGAAGAAGGAGCTCAACTCTTCCAAAACCAGGAATCCCCGCTGAGGGCTCTCGGGGCACCTGAAGGAGCCCTGGGCCTGGCGCAGGCAGGCGCTGAGAGGATGGCGATGTTGCCATGGATGCGGCTGCCTCCGTAAGTATCCTCTTGCAGCCGGTCCAGAGATGCCCTCTTCTCTCCTTCCAGGCTCCCCTTCCTCCTTAGATAAGATGTCTTATCAGAAAAAGCAGCCCACCCCCCAGCCCCCAGTGGGCTGCGTGAAGACCTCTGGCGGCGGTAGCGGAGGCGGAGGCAGCGGCGGTGGCGGCTGCGGCTTCTTCAGCGGTGGCGGCAGCAGCGGTTCTGGCTGCGGCTACTCCGGAGGCGGTGGCTACTCTAGCGGCGGCTCCGGCTGTGGCGGGGGCTCCTCTGGGGGCAGCGGCGGCACTGGAGGCTGCGGAGGCGGCTCCGGTGGGAACGTCAAGTACTCCGGGGGCGGTGGCTCCTCCGGGGGCGGCTCTGGCTGTTTCTCCAGCGGTGGGGGAGGTTCCGGCTGCTTCTCCTCCGGTGGCGGCGGCTCCGGCTGCGGCGGCGTCTCCTCCGGGGGCGGCTCTGGCTGTTTCTCCAGCGGTGGGGGAGGTTCCGGCTGCTTCTCCTCCGGTGGCGGCGGCTCCGGCTGCGGCGGCGTCTCCTTCGGGGGCGGCTCTGGCTGCTTCTCCAGCGGTGGGGGTGGCTCCTCCGGGGGAGGCTCCGGCTGCTTCTCCGGCGGCGGCGGCTCCTCGGGTCAGGCTGTCCAGTGCCAGAGCTACGGAGGCGTCTCCAGCGGCGTCTGTAGCGGCGGCTCCTCCAGCGGCGGCTCCGGCTGCTTCTCCAGCGGCGGGGGCGGCGGCTCCGGCTGCGGCGGCGGCTACTCCGGCGGCGGCTCTGGCTGTGGCGGCGGCGGCTACTCCGGCGGCGGCTCTGGCTGCGGCGGAGGCTCCTCTGGCGGCGGCAGCTCCGGCTACGTCTCCTCGCAGCAGGTCACCCAGACCTCGTGCGCGCCCCAGCCGAGTTACGGAGGGGGGTCGTCCGGCGGCAGCGGCGGCAGTGGCTGCTTCTCCGGCGGCAGCGGCGGCAGTGGCTGCTTCTCCAGCGGCGGGGGCGGCGGGGGCTCCGGCTGCGGCGGCGGCTCCTCCGGGGTTGGCAGCGGCTGCGTCATCAGTGGCGGGGGCTCAGTCTGCGGAGGTGGCTCCTCTGGGGGCGGCGGCAGCTCCAGCTGTGGCGGTGGCTCCTCCGTGGGGGGCTCAGGGAGTGGCAAGGGCGTCCCGGTCTGCCACCAGACCCAGCAGAAGCAGGCGCCTACCTGGCCATCCAAATAGGTCCCCCGGGGTACCACGGAGGCGAAGGAGTTGGAGGTGTTTTCCAGTGGCGCCGATGGGCTTAGAGCTCTCATGATGTTACCCGAGGTTTGCAAATCCTTCATGTCTTAACCTACCTGAAAGAAGCCATTGAGCTCTCCGACTGCAACTAGTGCTGCTGTTTAGCCTCTTTGGTTTCTGTACAACTACCTCCCAACCCCAGTGCCTCAGTCAATAAATGTGCAAATTCATGAGAATCTCTAGGTCTCCGAGAGTATTTGTAGTGTTCAAGTTCATCCATTCCATTCCATTCTTCTCCTTCCCTGCATTCGCTCATTCACACTTACATTCATTTTACAAATACACGGACTCAATTGGCGGAAGGGTGAGTGGATAGATGAGAGTCACCAGGAGAGGGAGGAATGGCTGGCAAACGACGGTCAAATATGTGAACATTCTAGTGTGCGGCTTAAAATCATGACGTGATCCCAAAACACAAAGATCCTGAGGAGAGACTTCAATAACACCTCCCTGTGGATTGGGTAGCCACTGTGGGTCTCCTTACTGAACTCTGTTTTTTAAAGACATGCTGCCCTGGGAAGACGCTGTCTCTCAGCCTCCAGAGCCAATTCTGCAAGGTCTGAAAGCTGGGTGGCTGCACATTAGGAGCACCAGCTCATGCTACTCAGACTCACCGGAGAAATAATAAGCCTATCCGATGTTTATGAGCCTCTAGGGCGAGCAAGACCACTTTAGTAGGTGGTACCCGTAGGGAGAGGAGGAAGTAGGGGAACTGTTTCCTACTCTCTCACTCTCTCTTTTTTTTTTTTTTTTAAATCTCAATCAGCTTTCTCGGGTTGAATGTTTCCTGCTCTCTTGAAGGAACTTTACCTAACTTAGGAAGATGCAGCATAAGTGTGCGAGATGTAAAACCTCAGCACCAGAAAGAGGTCATGGAAAACACAAGAGCTTCCGATCAGCAAGGAAGAAGCCACAGTTGCTCCAAGGGATGTATTAATTGCATAGCCCTCAAAAGAGATATAGAACATCAGCCTGGCCAGGGATTTTCCAGGTTCTGCTTCATATCCTGATTTTACCAGCTCTAGTTAAATGCCAATTTACTGATTTACTCAAGAAAAACTCCTGCTACATCAAAAAGCCCAGGTACCCTTCCTACTCAATCACTGCTGGGGAGGTTAAAAAAAAAAAAAAGGCTTCTTCTTCAACTCTCCCATTTGGGATCTCTACCATTCATCATTTTACATCGGTCATTCATGGAGATCAGAACAAATAGCAGTCTTAAAGATTCAGGAGCCCAACCACTGCATTACTTTTATGTTTTTTAACAAATGAAAGTCAGACTTTCAGTTCTGGACAAAATGAAGTAGATGTAATTCTTACTATCACTCCTGTGATACTAACTAAAATCTCTGAGCATAATATATAAAGCAAACATAAGAAGACTTTGCAAGCTGGGTGGCTGCATGTTAGCAGCACCAGCTTATGCCATAAACATCTGATATGCTTATTATTTCTCTGGTGAGTCTGGAGAGGACAAGGCGGAGTAGCTAGAGTCCTCAGAACTAAAGGACTGACCGTGGTAAGTTTCCTGGGTTTTCTTATTGCCTCCTGTGTTTCCCAGATTGGGCACTAGAAAATCTGATTCTGGCAGGTGCAGACAAAAAAACTGCACCAAGAAAATTCTCTTGCTTTAGACAAAAGACCAGGAAAAGGGTAGTCTAGTAAGACAGAAATCTTTCTGACAATATTTGCCCTACTTCAACCAAACACCATGGGGAAAAAAATGAACAAGAATCCTGTACTTCCACCATAGTAAGGAGACCACATGGACTTACTCAGAAGGTGCTACACTCTCCCTAACCTCACTAGTGTGGTATTAGCTATAATAGAAAATTTAAACAAGATCTGAAGTCTCTTAACATAATGCCCAAAGTGTCCAGCACACAATAAAAATCACTCATCATACCATGAACCAGAAAAAAATCTCAACTTGAATGATAAAAGAACCATTCGACAGATAACCAACAGTGAAATGACACAGATTTTGAGATTATGTTAGGGATTGTTGTTGTTGTTGTTTTGACACAGTCTCAATCTGTCTCCCAGACTGGAGTGCAGTGGCCCAATCTTGGCTCACTGCAACCTCCTCCTCCAGGGTTCAAACAATTCTTGTGCATCAGCCTCCTGAGTAGCTGGGAATACAGGCATGTGCCACCACACCTGGCTAATGTTTGTTGTGTTGTTTTGTTTTTCAGTAGGAGACGGAGTTTCGCCATGTTGGCCAGGCTGCTCTTGAATTCCTGGCCTGAAGTGATCTGCCCGCCTCGGCCTCCCAAAGTGCTGGGATTACAGACGTGAGCCACCGCCACCATGCCTGGCCTTATCTGTTAGGGATTTTAAAGAAGATATCATAAAAATGCTTCAATAAGAAATTACAAACACATTTGAAACAATGAGAAAATAGGAAACCTTGGCAAATAAATAGAAGATATAAAAAGAGCAAAGTGGAAATTTTAGAACTAAAAATATAATAACCCATTACAGAGTTAAATTTTAGAACTGGAAAATAAAAAGCTCACTAGATAGGCACAATAGCAGAATGGAGATGGCAGAGAAAAGAATCAATATCCTTCCACCTTCCACTATTTTACCCCTCCAGAGAATACAGCAGCAGGCACTGTCTTAGAAGCAGAGAGCAGCCCTCCACAAATAATTGAACTTGTTGGTGTCTTGATCTTGGCCTCAAAACTATGAGAAATAAATTCCCAGCCTCAAAAACTATAAGAAACATGTTCCTGTTCAAAAATAGATCAATAGAAATTATTCCATCTCAACAACAGAGAAAATAAACTGAGGGGAATAAAAACAGAGCCTCAATAAACTGTGGGACAACAAAAGTGTTAGCATTCATGTCATCAGAGTCCCAGAAGGAGAGGAGAAAAGGTGTGGTACTGAAAAATTGTAGAAATAATGGCTCAGAATTCCCAAATTTGGTGAAAGTGATTAACTTACAAATTCAAGATGAGTGAAACTCAAACAGGATAATCCCAAAGAAATCTACACTAAGAAATATCATAATCAAACATCTGAAAGCTAAAGACAAAGAAAAAATCTTCAAGAAGAAAATTTTGGATTTATTGAAATCGGGGGATCCTGAGCAAGATGGCCGAACAGGAACAGCTCCAGCCTCCAGCTCCCAGCACGAGCAACACAGAAGATGGGTGATTTCTGCATTTTCAACTGAGGTACCAGGTTCATCTCACTGGGGAGTGCTGGACAATCAGTGCTGGTCAGCTGGTGCAGCCCGACCAGCGAGAGCTGAAGCAGGGCGAGGCATCGCCTCACCTGGGAAGCACAAGGGGGAAGGGAATTCCTTTTCCTAGCCAAGGGAAATTGAGACACACAACACCTGGAAAATCAGGTAATTCCCACCCCAATACTGCGCTTTAAGCAAATGGGCACACCAGGAGATCATATCCCACACCTGGCCGGGAGGGTCCCACACCCACGGAGCCTCCCTCATTGCTAGCACAGCAGTCTGAGATCTAACTGCAAGGCAGCAGCAAGGCTGGGGGAGGGGTGCCCACCATTACTCAGGCTTAAGTAGGTAAACAAAGCCACCAGAAGCTCGAACTGGGTGGAGCCCACCGCAGTTCAAGGAGGTCTGCCTGCCTCTGTAGACTTCACCTCTGAGGACAGGGCATAGCTAAACAAAAAGCAGCAGAAACCTCTGCAGATGTAAATGACCCTGTCTGACAGCTTTGAAGAGAGCAGTGGGTCTCCCAGCACAGAGGCTGAGATCTGAGAACAGACAGACTGCATGCTCAAGTGGGTCCCTGACCCTTGAGTAACCTAACTGGGAGACATCCCCCACTAGGTGCAGACTGACATCTCACACTGCACATGGCTGGACACACCTCTGAGACGAAGTTTCCAGAACAAGAATCTGACAGCAACACTCACTGTTCAGCAATATTCTATCTTCTGCAGCCTCCGCTGCTGATACCCAGCGAACAGGCTCTGGAGTGGACCTCAAGCAAACTCCAACAGACCTGCAGATGAGGGTCCTGACTGTTAGAAGGAAAACTAACAAACAGAAAGGGCACCCACACCAAACTCCCATCAGTACATCACCATCATCAAAGACCAAAGGCAGATAAAACCACAAAGGTGGGGAAAAAGCAGGGCAGAAAAGCTGGAAATTCAAAAAATCAGAAGCACATCTCCACTCCAAAGGAATGCAGCCTCAATCGCCCCAGCGAATAGATCAACAGCTGGACGCCGAGGAATGAACTTTGACAAAGTTGCGGAGCGGAGAGATGAAGGCCTTGGTTGATCAAACCCTCCTCAGAGCTAAAGGAGGAAACTACATACCAGGGCAAAAGAAAACCTAAAAATCCTTGAAAAAAGAATGGAAGAATCTGGATAAACCTAGAATAATCAACACAGAAGACAGGCATAACGAACCTCGACACTCAGAGCCTGAAAACTGACACGAGAAATTATGTTGACCACAATGCCACAAGCGTCAGTAAGCCCAACATTGA